GTAAAACTTGGCCGCGCTCCGAGCACACTGCCAGAATGTGACAAATTATATTGCATTATGGACAATTCTTAATGTACTGAGATAATTCAGTCTTAAATTTAACTATGGGTTAGTAAGGTTACTTTGGGGGGAAAATGATTTTCTTCCTCGTGATTTTTTAAAATTGGAGGTATATGAAGAAATTGAAAGTATTATTGAATTTAAATTTAGTTTTACATTTTAAGTTAAATTTACCTTCAAATTGATAGTAAATCCAGGTCAACGGTCAGCTCTAAATGTTATCGATTCGATGTCTATTTTAGACTATCTGATCTGTGCGGTAGATATTTTTGGTAACTGCAGAACATTCATCGGTCTGTTGGTTTATCGACTTTTACGTTTTAAATCTAAGCTTATGCCTACTTCGTGCTAGACTAGTAATTCAGAAAGTTAAAAATAATTTAGTTGCTAATAAGATTACTATCTCTAAATTACTAGCTGGTGCGAACTAAGCATATATTAAGAAATAAGCCTAGCAGTAACTATCTTTGGACTTTTAGTGAGAATGCGCGGCCAGGCAACTGGGGGGACGACGGCGCGGGCACTTGGCCCGAGGACAGCTCGCTGGAGTGGACTGATGTGCCAGGACAGTACACAGACCTCGTCACCTCCATGGTAAGAATAACTAATTTCACTGTTTCGACAAGCTCTTCTGTATAGTTCGCATTAGTCTGAGTAAAAAGTACTGTCCGAAAGTTCCCAATAATAAATTCTAGCTACTAAATACGTTTACTAAATACGTTCGTGACTCATATTGGGAAGCTCTACTGGTCAATGAAATATCTGCTCTACTAAAGTAAAAAAAAATGTTCGGCCACGCTTTTTTAATCTCTAGACGAATAAATTTCCGGATGTGAATTAGGCACAAGAGTAGTTGGATAAAATTTTAATTCTCTTAACTATTTTAGATTACTGTTTCACTAATGAAGTATAATTACAGAAGACTTTATCGATGTCTGCGGAGTTCCCGCGCGGGCCGCGCAGCCCTCGCCCACAGGAACACTTCAACGAGGGGAACGGTCTCAATGTAAGTAACGATTGACTTTATTTTTTAACTAGCTGTTACCGTGCGACTTCATCTGCATTAAATTATGAAAATTTTGTTTTATTGTTTACGTGTGTAAAATTATCAATTGCAAATGTCAAAATGACAAACCTTGGCAACCTTGCTTCCTTGTCGTTGGCAGCAAGTTATAGGTCTTTCCCACATTAGGGTTTTTATCAAAAATGTTCACCCCCTAAGTTTAATGGCGTGAAAATATATAGCATAAAGCGTGACATAAATGTAGGGCGTATTATTAAAAAAGAATTATCCAAAAATATACTGTAATTGTTGACATCTTAAGCAACAAAGTGTGTTTACCCTTTTTTATAATAGTATAGATGTTCGTTCTTTATTTGACATTGTCTTGTTCTAGATGCAGCCGCCATGGCCGCCGGAGCAGGCGTCTACGTCCACGATAAACAGCGCTCCGGTCAAATATATACGTGAGTATATTTACAGCATTATCCCATCCTTATACTCGAGTAGAGTTGGCATATTACTCCCTTGATAAACATTCTCGTAATAATCCTAACTACCCCTTAATTCCGAAACTCTTTTGTAACATGTCTATACTATGCTAATCTTACACGTAGCTGTGATGTGAAGATATAGTTTACTTGCTTTTGCTTGTTACCTTAACCGCGTCGAATTAAGATTGGATGTTCCAAAATGTTCTAAATTTCATCGAGATTCGATCAGTAGTCAAAGCTACAAACTTTTAAACATATCCATTAAAACGTTTTGTAAAAGATTTATCTGCGTATATCTCAGTTTTAAGTGTGTTACTGTAACTGCTGTAGCGGGTGGTGGT